GAGGGAGAAACGTTCCGGTAAAAATACTAACACTAGTCAGTCACACTCTCTTGCTACACAAAGGACAAACATCCATGGCAACATAGCTACTTTGCTCTCCCTCTTCTTCTTCTTCCAAATACCGCAGAAATGGCTCTTCCCCAGCTCATTCCCTCATCTTCTTCTTCTCTACACCATAAACCCACCTTCAACCCCAATCCCATCCCCTACCCCTTAAACCCTAACCCTAATTTCCTCTCTCCCCGTCTTCGCCGCAGCCACCACCACCGCCGCCAAAGACCAGGTTCTCTGAAATGCTCGGCCTCGTCCTTCTCTGAGAGGCACCCCACCAATCAGCCCAAGTCAGACGACGTCGTCGAGCTCCCGCTCTTTCCTCTGCCTCTGGTGCTCTTCCCCGGCGCAATCTTGCCCCTGCAGATCTTCGAGTTCCGGTACCGTATGATGATGCACTCTCTCCTCCAGACCGATCTCCGCTTCGGCGTCATCTACAGCGACGCCGTTTCGGGCACCGCCGACGTCGGCTGCGTCGGCGAGATTGTCAAGCACGAGCGCCTCGTGGACGACCGCTTCTTCCTCATCTGCAAAGGCCAAGAGCGTTTCCGAGTCACCGACCTAGTGCGCACCAAACCCTACCTGGTGGCGGAGGTGAAGTGGCTCGAAGACCGCCCGTCGAACGACGGCGAAGAAGACCTGGAGGCATTGGCGAACGAGGTGGAGTCGTACATGAAGGACGTGATTCGGTTGTCGAACCGATTGGGAGGGAAGCCGGAGAAGGATGTGCAGGACCTGAGGAGGAACCTGTTTCCGACACCGTTTTCGTTCTTCGTCGGGAGCACGTTCGAAGGGGCGCCGAGAGAGCAGCAGGCCTTGCTGGAATTGGAGGACACAGCGGCGAGGTTGAAGAGAGAGAAGGAGACTCTGAGGAACACGCTTAATTACTTGACGGCAGCTTCGGCTGTCAAAGACGTCTTCCCGTCGACGTGAAAAATTCGCTGAAATTGTGATTGCTGTGAGAGTCTTGAGGTATAAAAAATGCCCCAACTTGCCATAGGAAAGCAAGCAACTTGTAAAATTTTCAATTTTGCTCTTTCTTAATTTCTAGGTTTTTTAGATATATTCTTAATTATAAGTTGAATTTGCACATACTTGGAAACTTTATAATGGGATTCTTGTGTGGTGATCTCGTATACTTTTTTCTTCACTGTCATCTCATCTCATCTCATCAGCAATTAGGAACTCAGAAAACCCAGCAGAACTGAAGGATTTCCATCTGATTTAATTTGACGAAATGGCAAGGATTGATCACACAGTCCATTGTTGTTGCTAAAATCAGTATATATTGTGAAGATATTACATAATCAAATGAATGGGTATTTGTGAGTGCAACAGGACGCATTTAAGTTATATACAGAATCTTATCCTCTCGCAAAGAAATATGGCTCAGCATCATTACCACTATAGAGAACTTTACTTTCATAGGATCCAACCCCGAATCATGGAGCCCCACCCCAGGCTGCCTCTACTCTCAAGCGCTTTCGATGTTAAATTCCCAGTAGCAGCATGCGACTGCGTTGATAGCTGCACATTACTCTGCAACATTGAAAATAATCAAATTCAGATTATAACTGAATACAAAAGTAATTTCTCAAAAATTCAATGATATCAAAAGCAAATAACATAACTAGTAGTAAGTAACAAAGTGTGTACAAGATGCTTTGTGCCAAGAAAAAACCTAGGGACTAAAACTATTGGTTTGATATGTGGTGGAGTGACTTAACACGCAACGACAGTGACTTAGTTTTCAGCATTCTACTATTCTTATGTTTGATAAAGAAAGATTCGTATTTGATACAAACCTGGAGGCACAGCGTCCTTTCTGTATCACAGATGGGATAATCACGGGGACAACAGTGACGCTGATCCTTGCAACAAACAGCAGAGTCCAACTCACAGCATCTCCAAGAAAAGCATATTCCCACTACCCTCTTAGCACAACAGCAGGTTTCCCCTGTTGCACAGTGTGTAAAGATATCGCACCGAGTCGGCCCTGGCGGAGGAGAAGGCGGGGGAAGAGGAGGGTTTTCCCCTGTCTTTATTGGATATGAAGCCAACGTGTTGATGCCACAGACCCCTTTGGGATTGCTATGATCACGCATCATGTGCATGTAGCCATTCATCCCCCAATTTGTCCCCCATGAATTCTTTACAATCCAATAGTCCACTCCATTTTCGGAACCATAACCTACGATTAACACAGCATGATCCAAAGAAGTCGAGCACGGGCCATTGAAAATCCCCTATAACACAAGTAAAGATATTAATCAAACGCAACTAATTCAATCTAATGCTACTGTTGTTGACAATCGAGGCAAACCTTTGAGTACAGCTGAAATGCCATGTCACTGCCTGATATACCTACACTCACTGGTTGACTTGCCACTGCTTGTAGTAGCTGTTCCTCATCATTTGAGGGCACATCAGTATAATCATCTATGGTCACAGCATTCCTCTTTAGCTGACAATGCAAACTTATATTAGAGCAATGTAAGAAAACAGAGCATCAATAGTCTCATAGAAACACATAGGTTCAAACAACGATTGGAATTCAATCCAAACCCGGTACTATAGAAAACATCTCTTCAATCCAACCCAAGGATGGGTTGGGATTGAGAAAAGGGGATGGAGGCCGGGGGAAGAGAAATAAGTAAATACCTTTTTCTTAATGCAGGTGTCATCCCAACCTTTATATGGGTAATCTTCCTCAGTGTCAATCCCATTGTTATCTATGACAAATCGAAATGCATCGTTCATAAGTCCTCCGTTGCAGCCGTTGTTTGGATAAACTCTATCACAATCAACCAACTCTTGTTCAGAGAGGCTGATGAGCGATCCTGTGACAATCTTGTTGATACCTTCGATGGCACCAGTAGTTGAGAAGGCCCAACAAGCACCTATAACAACAAGAATTACTCTCATATTTGGCATCAAGAGACTAAATTCAACTATTGCCTCCTAATATAACATGAGTGCAATGACTCAAGAAGACATTTACAAGAAACTGATACATATTTTCATCGTCTAACGTTTTGCATGTTAGCTAACTGAGCCAACTGATTATGAGCATCAAGAGTTTAGCAGATGCCAAAGCAAGCAAACCATAACGTGAAAAAATCGAATGAAACGACCCTATTTTATCAGAATGGATGAATTGATGCAAACATATTTAACTCCATAATCACACCAGCAAACCCCTCCATTAAGAATGCACAAACACATGAACATGGTACAAGATTAAAGATTGCATGGCAAGGTTCATTCCAATTTCCAATATACTTCTTACAGTAAAGAAATTTCAAATGACTTGATGCAATCAGCCAAGCCACGGTAGATCAAAGAAGGCAATCAAAGTTTACTCCAGTGCTCACGAATTTGCCTTAATTTCTCATTTCTTTGGTGCTAACATAGCTGAAATGAGTTGTTCAACGAACGAGCCAATGATTCAGCAAAAACTGTAAAAGGCTCTCAGGCAAAACCCCATCTCATTGCCAAACCAAAATTCAGCAAAACTTAAATCACCAAGAAACAAGTAAAGAAAAAAAAGAAAAACCAAAACTATTGATGATGCCTGCAACAAAATTCCTACTACATATATTAAAGCTAATAATTTACTAGAATACAAATAAAGACTGAGAAAGATTAAACAATTTCGATATCAGAACAAAGACCAACATACCACAACTCCCTTGATCTTTCACATTGGTGACTGCCCCTTTCTTCCTCCAATCTAATGAAGTAGGAAGATCACGAACTACGCTGGGTTTCCTATCTGATTTACGCTTAAGACTGAGAAAGGTGGGTGAGAAGCCTAAACGAGAGGACTTGAACTCATGGTGAGTGAGATCAGAAAAGTCATTGAGAGAAAGGGTATAAGAAGAATTGCCCAAATCGTTGTGTTGGGTAACAAAGGCAAGATTTCCCTCAAACACACTGAGCCTGTAGAGCTTTTCTTGTGCTGAAGAATATGACTTGCCATACTGTTTGCACCAAACTTCAAAGAGTTCAGAAGTTGTTTGTGAAGAAGACGAAGAGAGGCAAGTATGGGAGACAAGGAAAAGAGTTAGAAGAAAGACAGAAAGCGACGAGGGGTTCATTTCTGTAAGAGGCTGCTGGTCTGGGATTTTTAGGGGTTCTTCGTTGTATTGGGTAGCTAGAAATATGGAGGACCATATGGATCTGTCTGATTGGACGAAATTTCTTGAAGGGTCTGACCAGTTAAAATTGGACATTGTATGGTGGAAGTAAGGTTGTTTTTCCCATTTCTTTTACGGTTTTACTAGTGACACCGTTTGGGAGTGCTTCTAGAACAGTTAAAAGTATTTTCTGACAACCAAAAGCGCTTTTAACAGAGTTTGGCAGAAAAATTTAGAAGTGCTTTCTGGAAAAGCACCTGTTATGTGCTTCTTCAGGAAGCACTCCCAAGTGCTTTTCCAAGAAGCACTTCAATTTCTTATGAAAATTTCAACGTCTTTATAATAAAAACGTTTTTGGTATAAGTGTTTCTTAGAGAAGCAGTCTCAAATGAGCCACTAGTTAGACTTTTCGACTCGAAAAATAGAAATATAGTTGGATTAGTAAGATGGGCTTCTATTTGTCTATATATCCACTACTGCATTCATTTATTTATAATTAGGCTTATTATCACAAAACGTCCCTGACGTTTGCGAAATTAACACATTGCATCCCTAACGTTTTTTTGTATCATTAATGGTTCCTAACGTTAATACAGGTACTCTTAAATAAGAGTAATTTTTTAGTGTTCCCGGTACACCACGTGGTTGGTGTACCATCCAATAGACGGAAGACATATGGAATATGTCCAATGCAGTCCGCCACATGTCATAAGAAGAAATGCAGTAAGTTGTATAATAATTCCACATGTTCTATGTTTATTGGATGGTACACCAAACACGTGGTGTACCTGGAACATTTAAAAATTATTACTACAACCATAGGAATAAATTTATTCTTTCAATAAAGATACTGAAATCCTTTCAGAAGAAACTAAAAGGTACATTACATATCTGCGGCAACACGCTTGTACAAATGCGAGGGGAGCCTTGGAGTAGGCACGGCTTGTAATGGTGTTCTCATATAAGTCACAAGCCCTGGAGTTTCCGACATGTCAATCTCCTTTGGATTCATCCCTTCAGCTGGAGCCCAACGGAAATGGTGCAATAGATGCCCCAACATGGACACCACCAAATTCACACTAAGTTGTGCTCCCGGGCATACTCGCCTGCCGGCTCCAAACGGAAGTAGTCTGAAATCATGCCCCTTCATGTCAACATCCTCCTCTAGGAACCTTTCTGGTCGGAACTCATGCGGGTCTTTCCAAACCGCCGGGTCACGCGCTACGGCCCACACGTTTACGTGAACACTCGCACCCTTGGGGATGTCGTAGCCACCGATCTTGACATGGGCATTAGCTCGGTGGGGGAGCATTAGAGGAGTTGGAGGGTGCAACCGCAACGCTTCCTTTGCTACACATTGCAGGTAAGGGAGATTTGAGAAGTCGTTTTCGGTCATTACCCGTTCGAACCCGATGACCCGATCTAGCTCCTCTTGTGCCTTTTCTTGCACCCTCGGGTTCTTAATCAACTCAGCCATAGCCCATTCAACTGAAATAGGTCGGGGATGTTTTGTGATAATAAGCCTTATAATTAATATGCATCGTCGTATTATAACATATGCAGTGATATTTTTCCCTTGAAGGCACGTGTGCAATAACCTAAGAGAGTAGCGGTTTAGAGTTCGAGACACTACAGATAGAGATGCAATCACTCTCAAGTGTCTCGAACACACTCGGATTCTGAATGCCACCCGATACATAAAAGCATCGTTCATCGTTTCCGAAACGAAACCCCCTGCTTTGAGCACGAAGCCAAACCCCTCCCTCCCTCTCTTCCTCAACCTCTCACTCTACCAAAGGCGGCGAATCATGGACGTCGATCCTCGTCACTATAATCACGTTGTGAGTTTCTATTTTTCGTTTTTTGTTTTTGCGTTTATCAAATTATTGCAATTTCCATAATCTTATTTCACTCCCAAGCACGAAGATTATACAATTTACACCTAATTACTGTTCAATTGCATTGATTTTGGGCATTGACTCATCCATACCATATTAGGGCTTATTGCATATGCCTATTGGGGCACTTGAATGGATGAAGAAGAGAATTCTATCTGAAAATATTCGTTGGTTGATTCTATTAATTTAGTTTTCCATTGTGCATAGCTTTTGTATTTATTATGGCGATTTTGGGTTTTTGTTGTTGTTGTAATTGACAGGCTATCAATGACAATGACGTCCACAATATTGTTCTATCATACCTTGTGCATAATTGCTATAAAGAAAGTGTGGAGTCATTTGTTGCTTCTACGGGGATGAAGCAGCCTGCTGACTGTCTTGAGGATATGGAGAAAAGAAAAAGTAGGTTTGCCGCAAAGCAATGACAAGTTTGCTCGCATATTGTTGTTGGAGATGAATATTGGAGTGTTTGGTTGATGATGATGCTAATTGTATGCTTTGTCCGCAGGAATCTTTCATTGTGCAGTGGAGGGGAATGCTCTCAAGGCGATTGAACTGACGGAACAGCTGGCACCTGACTTACTGGGGAAAAATAAAGAATTGCATTTTGACCTTCTGAGCCTTCACTTTGTTGAACTTGTTTGCTCTAAGAAATGGTGGGCAAAATTACAGGGATACATCTAGAAAGCTTGTATTATGCCTTTCTTGCTTTTTAATTCTTTATTTATTTGGCAGCACAGAAGCTTTGGAATTTGCCCAGAACCAGTTGACCCCCTTTGGCAAGGTGGAAAAATATGTCTCAAAGCTTGAGGTATGCTGCAACTCTCTCAAGTATTCCTTATATAAATATATGCACATTTTGTATGTGTGTATGTATGTCACTATGAGACTGAACTTTGGTATTTCTGTAGGACTTTATGGCATTGCTTGCCTATGAAGAACCAGAGAAGTCCCCTATGTTTCATTTGCTTAGCTTGGACTATCGGCAGCAAGTTGCAGATAGTTTGAACCGAGCAGTTCTTGGTATGTTACTCAAATTCCTTCATGCTTCTGTGTGCCATATGTGTTTCAATGCTGCTGTAGAGATATCTGTTCATTGCAAATTTCATATGCTTATTTCCCTGGATTGTAAACTTGGCATTTAAAACAATCAATAATGTACTGTTTTTTAATTGTGTTTCATGGTAATTGTCAGCACATTCAAACCTGCCCAATTATACTGCAATGGAAAGGCTAATACAACAGACAACAGTAGTTAGACAAAGCATAAGTGAAGAAAATGCCAAGGTAATATGCAGTTAGTTAATCTTTATTTTTCTGCTTGATTCTTGAGGCTGCAGTTGTTGAGAAAAATGAAGCCAATTTTAACCATCTGACCTCGGTTAGCTTTGCAGAATTTCAATTTTTTGTAGCTTTATAAAATAACTTTATCCTTGTTAAAGGGGTATGCTCTCTTTCGTAACCTGCATATCACATTGCAAAAGTGAAGGGAATTTGAGATTTTATTGTTATGAAAAGAGGGTGATTGGAATAAGCTTACACATCTATAAGTATTGATTGAATAATTACATCTTGGTATCTTTTCCTTAGTAACAGGTTAAGAGATTCCTCAACTATAAGGCCTACTGTTGTGCAGAAAGATAAAAGGAGAGAGATTATTCAGGATAGGCATGTGCCCTATTAGATTCATTCATTACAGTTCATTTAGTGGTAGTGAGATAGATTATTTAGGATAAGCATGTGCCCTATTAGATTCATTCATTACAGTTCATTTAGCGTGTGTGTGTGTGTGTGACAGGTGAATTGTGTAGTGCATAGCAAGATTGTGTTACTTCCTCACTCGATGTTGGTTTGGTTTTGCAGAATGGGCCTCCACCATTTTCTTTGAAGGATTTTATTAGAAGCTAATGGATGAAACTCTTGGAGTATCACTGGCTGTTCTCATATCTTGCAGTTTGGCAAGTTTGGTGCTCGATCTTGTATGCCACATGTGGAGTTGGTGTAATACATTATTTCTTGTATAGAAAGTAGTCATCAAAGGGGGTACTAGCTCTGCGCCAATTGGTTTTCTCTAGGTTTGGGTTTTTGAAGTTGATCTGATGCAAGGCTTGCATATGTTATTGTGCTTATTTTGAGACTTCAAACTCGTGTAATCTATCTATAAAGTATAATGTCAGATTTTGATCAGACACTGTTGTAAAGTTTCTTTCACACGTTTTATATCCAGTTAGCTCTTCCTTGGGTCAACTAGTGTTGATTTTGGCTTCAAATTGATCCCAAGTTAATCCACATGATGCAATTCTATCCCAGTTAATATGAGTCTACTTGGTGAGGATAATTTTTATTTTCTTATTTTACCATAAAAATAGGAAAATTATATTAAAATTAGAAGACCCAACACTTATGACTGTGAGGAGAATCACCTTCATTGAAAAGGTCCTGGCTCGAACCCTAATGACACTTGATAGTGTGTTTGTGAAAAATTCACATTCCTGTATTTAGACCATCACTTGTATTTTAAAAAGAAAAAAAGAAAGAAAAAAAAGCCCCTGGTTTGGAAAAATCAATTTGAATTAGTCAAGAAAAAAGTCTCCAATATATTTGAAGAAACATCAAGTCGGTTTGTGAAATGTTAAATAAAAAAGAAATTAAGTCCGTTGTGGATATGGACACGGCCTTAAAACTTACGCGGACTTTTTCGGTTCAGTAAGATTTGGGCTTTCAAATAACGCACATCACCACCGACCCCAAGAAAATGGGCTTAAATTAGAAAGTCAGTCCCGCCAGACTTGCCAAAAATATCCCTGTCGTCTTTGTCTGTTGCTCTGTTACTGTTTGTCTCGCTCGCCTTCCTCACTGACTCTCTCTCTTGCTGCTTCTCTCTATTCGGATATGGTGTCTCTCATCTCCCCGCCACCATCAACTTCCTATCTTTTCCGCCACAAGTCCTCGTTCTACGGCATCGTATTACCTGAAAGGTAATTTCTAAAGATTAGGGCATCTTTACATTTAGAATATTGCTAATAAAAATACAACGAAAACTTTGAAAAATCTTCTTCTTCCCCAATTCTCCAAAATTAAATGCAGCATTTTATGCAACCAGCAGAAACGTTCTTATGCTTTCAGTTTACTACGCTAGTATATGAAAATAGAACACTCTTTGAGATCTCTCCACTCTCTCTCTCGCTCCTTTCTTCAGCTTGTTCCTGCTCGTAATTCCCATGGTTTGTTACGTATAGGTGTGGCCAGGTCTCGCAAAATTTGAATAATATCAGATACTACGCAATAAGCTGCCGACTTAGTACCAGAGCCAAAGAATCTCCCGCTCAAAAATCCAATACTTTAATCAAGGAACCTCACAAGTACTTTGATCAGGTCATCATCACAGTTCGCTCAGGAGATGGCGGCCATGGCGCAGTCCTCAACATGCCAAACCAGAGAGCTAGTAAGCCTCAAGGAAAACACGAGAAGGAGAAGCTGAGGAGAAAAAGCTTGTTTAAACGGGATTTTGGTGGGTCCCTTATTCTTCCTGTGGGTGGCCATGGAGGTGATGTTGTGATCTATGCTGATGAGGGTAAAGATTCGTTACTGGAATTTCACACGAAAAGTAGGCACAATGCAAAACGCGGTGGGAATGTGGCTGCAATGGGTGTTTTGACTGCACAATTGCATGATGGACTTTCTGCCCCAACTTTGCGTATTCCAGTGCCTCCAGGTTTGTGCATTGTTTTGCAGGGAATGTAAAGAATTGGGATTTTCATGAGAGATTTTCTGTTTAAATAGTTTCATCTTATCACTTTGTTTATCTTCCATGAACCTTATCTCTGTATCCGCCTGTGCTAACCTTAGGTACAGTAGTGAAGCGTAAACGAGGGACATTGTTGGCTGATTTGGCACGGCCAGGTGATGAAGTCCTTGTAGCAAGGGGTGGACAAGGAGGGGTGAGCCAACATGCTCCTTAAACGGAGTGAAAACTTCAGGAAAAATAAACATTTGTTTGTTTATTTTTCTTCAGAGACTCAGAACTTTTGGCAATTGCGAAGATAGTCCCAATCTGCATTACAGATTATTCTTTATTCAGTAAATTGTTGTGTAAATAGTATTTTCAATTTGCCTTTTACGCTTACATTTTTCTTGGATTTTGTGGCAGATTAGCTTGGTAGAAATGCCAGAGCATAGCAGGAAAAAGTTGATGGCTTTGACCACAAATGTGATGAGAGATGATAGTGATAAGGTAATGTGGTTGTGAATATATCTCGACTGAGACATTATAGTGTTTTGATATGCATTGTATGGTAGATATCTCCATTGAGACATGTACACACTCAAATTTATTGAAAATTTCAGGCAAATGTGATGTTTATACATTAAGCTGCTCAAGTATTACTCGTGGATTGCCTTTCTTGACTAACATCTTCCCTCTCTATCTCTCATTCTCTTTGTGGGCCTGTTCAAGCAGTAGAAAAAAATATCTTATCCAATAACCAGACTATTTTAGTCATATATGTGTTTCTTATTTTAAAACAGTTTGTAAGCCATTTTCAGATGATTGCAGGTTTTAGCTGTTGGTCAACCAGGAGAGGAGGTTAGTCTAGAGTTGATTCTGCGAGTTGTTGCTGATGTTGGTTTGGTTGTAAGTATTGTTTTCCTGTTCTCTCCCTGGGGTTCCTTTTTATTTTGAAGTTCTGCTCTTAGAAGTTCAATGATCACATTGTGATGTGTTAATGAAACTGTTGGTAACTGACGCTTTTGGTACCTAGATTTCCAAAAGATAGACAATACCTCACCTGTTGTTTGTACAATGAAATGGAGTAATAAATCTTTTGATCAAGTTAATTTGGAATAGAATCGAAGAGGAAAACCCTGCTAACTCCATTAAAATTTTTAGTTGAGTAAATGTAAACACGTATTCCTTGTTAAGTTTTTCTTTTTTGTTATAGATTATATTTGGCCTTTCATGGGTGGAGAATAAAGAAATTATAGAGCAAGGCTACTTAGTAAAGGTATTAGTATGGTCTTTAGATTGCTAATACGTGCCTGCCTTTGTTGTAGGGCCTTCCAAATGCTGGAAAATCAACCCTTTTGTCAGCCACTACCCTTGCAAGACCTGATATTGCGGATTATCCTTTCACAACCTTAATGCCAAACCTTGGACGCCTTGATGGTGACCCAAGTTTAGGGCCACAGATGTATTCTTCTGAAGCAACATTGGCAGATTTGCCTGGTCTTATCGAAGGGGCTCATCTTGGGAAGGTAATGTGTTTCTATCTTGTTTACTCACTTATTCTAAAGCTCCAATTGTTTTAATTCAAACTCTGGTCATCCTTCAGGGTCTTGGTCGCAATTTCTTGAGGCATCTGAGGAGGACCCGGCTATTGGTCCATGTTGTTGATGCCGCAGCCGAGAATCCTGTAAATGACTACAGAACCGTCAAAGAAGTATGTGTCCCATTATTCATGTGCTGTATTTGATTGATAAGTTAGTGTGTAATTACTGGTATCAAACTGTCATTCTAGTTGCTTCTTGTTAAATGTCATTATTGTGCCGTTACCCTATGAATGATGATTCTTTAATGGTAGTTAGTTTTTCCCCTTGTGATTACTGGTTAGCCTCTGTTGTTTTGATATGGAAAAGATTTGAATTAGTGGGAGTGTTTACCATGTGCTCGACTTTTCCTTCTTTTTTCCCCTTCCCTCCACATATCGGTATTTAACCTGATGCTAACTACTGGCCTCAAATTTGCAGGAATTGCGAATGTATAATCCTGATTACCTTGAACGACCATACATTGTGGTGTTGAATAAAATTGACCTTCCTGAGGTTTGTGTCGTTTGTTTTTTAATCTTTTCTAGTGTGGAAAATGCATCCTGGTTCCAATCTCTGTTCTCTGCTGGTCACTAATATCTTGTTCAGTGAAATAACGTCATCTCCTAAATCTCATGTTGGATTGAAATATATCTCCGCATTTCAGGCAAAAGACAGGCTTCCATCTTTGACGGAAGAAATAATGAAACTTGGTGTTGATAGGCCATCTTCTGAGCCAGAAAAGAGCAGTACAGGTGCAGCTCAACAGCAGTCCTCAGAAGGGGGGAATGCAGATGGGAGTTCTCCAAGAGTTCTTACTAAAGACAAGAAGGATAAAGATATTGAGGACTATCCACGACCCCTCGCCATTGTTGGAGTCAGTGTTTTGTAAGTTCTATCCCTAAAACTTTATTTTCTGTTTTTCGAGTGCTATCTTTTTCTCTACCGGTGTTATTTGTTATTGGTATTTGACAGCCTCCTATATTTTTCCCTGTGCACACGAAAAATGCTCATTTGCTAATGTTTTGAAACTAAAGAAAAGGACTTCCCCTTCTCATTGAAGAAAAAAAAAAAAAGTGAAAGCTATTTATTTGGGAATTTTTTATTTTAATGACGGCATATTATCAATGATTTTATTAGTAATTCCAATTTTTTTTGGGGTAAAGAATTAGTAACTTCCATTGGGAGGTAAAATAAAGTTAACATGATTGTTTGCTATGTTATCCTTATCCGCATAGTAGCCGATATCCTCATTCAGGTTTCTCTACACCCTTCTAAACGGCTCCCCATCCTTTTGGGTTTCAGTCAAAGCCTTGAGGGAGAGAAGAATTTGTTTTTTATGAATCTCCTACATGTAAAATATTTATAGAATTTTTGGATTCCACAATAAAAACTGTTTAAATTTTCAAGTTTTACAAAACAAATTCCTGGATTTTTAAAAAATTCTTCATGGGTAATTGTTTCTGTGACCGAAAACATAAGTAGAGAACTATTTTGCACAATGTTGACTATGCATCACACAGCTTTTCAGTTGGAACTACATTTTAGCGTTCTTGTTTATTTTTCTTACAGATTATTTACTACAAAATGTATATTCCTCACTATACTCCTGCGTAGTTCTATATATGAAGTAACAAGAGCAGCACCTTAAATAAAAGTTTCAACTATGTTGGTTTTTGCAGGAAAGGCATCAGAGTCGACGAGATGTTGAAGGAGATAAGGGCCGGTCTGAGAAAGTGCCGAGGTGCAAATTAAGCATTGGATTTGAGTGCGAGAACATGAGGTTTTCGGTGTGAAACAGAAACACCTACAAAATTATAATGCATGAGGTTTTCTGGATTAGACAGGTTAGAACAATTTTGATTTGTAACTTGTACATATGCCAAATATGTATAGATAAATTCTAGCAGCAGCATATATACTATAACGAAGTCACGAATGAAATTTTCTTCAGCTTTCTTGCCGGGTTTTTCAATTCATGAATGAGATTCTAGTAGATTAAGTGAAATTTTATTCTTAACAAGAACCTGTTGGTAGGTTTATGCTATATAGAATGATGGATTCTTAACATTCTTTTGTCTGTTTTTGTGTTTTAGCATGTCAGGGTTCGTTGGTACGGTTCGTACCAAGAATCCTAGGATCTTATTTTTTGTCACAATTACGATAATTAATTTTTTATTTTCCCTGCCGTTGTGATTTTAGCATCTGGTAAAGATCGGATAACTACAAGCGGAACTTGTGTGCGCAATGATTTATTTACTGCAAATATAACGACAAGAGCAGGAGCAGTGGGAAATGCGAATCGGTCCGTAAGATTCATTCTGATCTGCGTCTGAACTTCTATCCTTTTCGGAAAACTCGTAAGAGTGGCGGGTCCTACATGGATCCAAATTCATATGATTCATCCATTGAATCAATCAGTTGTGACACACACTGCTTACATGGGATTTTGTAAAATACCACGTATCAGTTCGTCTCTCTGTGCTGCAAAACGGTACCCTGGTTTTGGGAAAGAACGTAGGTTCTTATCTCCAACCCTTTGAACACCGCCTCCGACAGTAAATGAGCCATTGTCCGAATCCCCCTCCTTCTCTGTCTCCACTTCCTTAACACTTAATCCAAACATTTTCCTTTCGAATTTTTTCAAAAAATAAAAAATATATATATATTTAGTCATATACCCATTCTTAGTGTTATTAATATAGATAAATTTTGTACAATTTAATTTCTATAAACAAATGGAAAAAAAATACAAAAAATGATATCTGACTATATTGAATTTAATTTTGATTATTAAATTATTTTGATGCCCTATTGAGTGTTTTGGGTTTTTTTTCATGAGGTTTTGAGGTTGAGTTTGTTTTAAAAAATCAATGGCAATTTTTTAATTTAAAAGAAATTAAAAGTCTTTTTATTATGTTGTAAATGGAATTTTGGTGTGTTTCTAAAGTTCATTTTATATAAAGTTTTTTTTTTAAAAAAAAAAATTTGGATTCCTATATTGAGTATAATAGTGCATCTCCGAAAAAAAAAAACTCAGAAAAACAGGAGAGTTTTTATCCTTTCGAAAAAAATATATAAAAAATATAAATATTAATATATGAAAAAGCAAAACTGGAATTTTGCTCCTGCCCGATTGCCACCTGAGCTAGTAAGCAAACAAAGAGGTAGGCCAAGTGTTGTATAAGAGAGTTAAACAGTGAGGCTGGCCGTGGACACGACATGTCCTGTTCGCCATGCCAAGTATTCAGCCAAAAGCCACGTTTCAGGTTATGTCTCATAACTCCTTCCTTCCTTCTTTGTCATATAAATACCGCCACCCTTTTCACATATGGCTTATCACACGCACCAAAAGCAAAAACAGAAGAAAAAGAAAAAGAAAAGAGAGAGAGAGAGAGAGAGAGAGAGAGAGAGAGAGAGAGAGCTCGGAATCCCTACCTCTTCAAATCCCAGAGTTGTGTGTCACTGTCAATCAACCACAATGTTGAAGTCAGAGATGACCAGCGTTAAGGTTGGGGAAAGAAAGCAAGTGAAGAGGCCTGCACAGGCCAGTTCAAGAAAGGGGTGCATGAGAGGGAAAGGAGGCCCTGAGAATGCCATGTGCACTTACAAAGGTGTGAGGCAGAGGACTTGGGGGAAATGGGTGGCTGAAATCCGTGAGCCCAACCGAGGTGCTCGTCTCTGGCTTGGCACTTTTGACACCTCCCATGAAGCTGCTTTGGCTTATGATGCTGCTGCTCGCAAACTCTACGGTTCCGAGGCTAAGCTCAATTTGCCTGATCAATTAGTCCCTCAATATCACCATCACCATCACCATCAAGTCCCTTCTTCTGCCAACCCCCACATGCTTCCACAGACGCCAAACCCATCAGCCCAACTAGCCCTTCTGCATCAGAATCCATCAGGTACTTCCAGTGCCTGTTTATCAAACGATTATGCTGCTCCTCTCAACGATGTTGAAGTTCCAGTACTTCGTGGTCATTATCCGAATGTGAAAGCTCATCAGCCCCATGGTACTTACCCTGAGCCTAAGCCAGAGGCAGAGCACAGCAAGATGAAAGCGGAGGAGAATATGAGTGGCAATGAAGGAATGGATTCTGGAATTTTCTGGGGCAACCTAAGTGGAAACTTTCCAATGTTCGATGACTCGATATGGGCGGAGGCAGCCATGTCCCTTGATTTTCCGGTGATAGAAGATCTTGGCATTTTTTCCAGCAACTTCGTCGATGGAAGTGGTTGGGAACCATTGCAGCCATCTCCATGGTGCGTGTAAATGTGAAGCTACAGAGCTAAAGATCGTGTCCTAGGAAACGAAGTTGCACAAATTAGAACCTCAGTACTTTTATGTCCATCCACACTATATATATATATACGTACGTAAACTGTAAGAGGTAGGGGTGTGTATATATAAATATATATAGCACAAATATAAATATTGGGGGCGAGAGAGAGTGGTGTATCTAAGGGGCAGCGGCGCCGCATGGGTTTTTCTGCGCTTGTCGTGGTCATTGTAGTGTGCTGTATATATCATAAATCAATATGGTTTTTATCTTCTTTTCTTTTGTCTTCTTTTTTTTAAAAATAAATATTTTAGGGGCTGTATGTATCTGCAGGTATAAATGGTCACTCGAGCTTGTGTATGATACGATTATGAACAAATACAAATATACAAATGTAGAGGTATTGTGATATATTATGTGAATGAATTCTCTTTCGATATATTTTTGTTGTCTGAATGAGACTTGCGCCAGCCTTGGCATGACGTTGGAGCTAACAGAGCTCCTCCTCACCTAAGTTTAGACTTTGGACAACCACCGTTCGTCGTCTTATTGGAATTCCAAGTTTCCTTTCCTAGTTTGCTTCCAACTTTTAGTTCCAAAGTCTCCTGATCTTCATTATTAGGATTTATTTCCCTTGCCACAGCGGTGGTTGTCCTCTCCTCTTGAAGCTTTAAGTTTGAACTTATCCATATCACAGCTGAGCTGAGACACAAGTCACATTAATTCATCTCTATCTCTGTTTCAAGTCGTGGCCTGCTTTGAAGCAAGGCATCAATCACCAAAGACTCAAAACTTTTCTGCTCTTACTGCAATTGGGGAGTTGATGGATGAGCCGTAATATTATCCTTTACCCTACTTTGAAGGAAGTGGTGCCAGACAACATAAAACACAACAGAGCAGTAAAATGGTTCATCTTTGGAATTGCATGAGAATGACAACAGCAAACTTTGCAACATTTCATTCATTCTATAATGATAACATGAAACCTCTTTTACATATCAAATAACATTATATTGTGGCTAGGGGCTGCTCTTCCAGAGATTTCCAGTATCTGTTTTTCAACCATAGAGAATCAGCTTCTACTGCATACCCATCTTGATTCCGATGCCAACTAAAAAATGCATGACTTCTGTTTTTTATGTCGAAAATCCCATGACCAAAGCTAGCTTCCCGGAAAGCTGAGTAGCTTGGCTGAGGTTCGGTCATTCTGCAGACAAAAGGAAAACCAGTACAATTTTCAGAAACTTTTTATTAATAGGGAAAAAAGACTGCTCCCGCCAAATATCATATCATTAGCAACATTCATACTTACTCAGTAACCAATCCTTCTAGATTTCCTCCATCTCCAATGGTTATGTAAACTGGGGCTGATTGGTCACTTACAGGGCTGCACAGTCCATTCACAATATTGTATGCAATATTTGATATCCGCTCCTGCAATGCAAACATATTTGATTTTAGAGTTACACTATTGAGAAATCCATTCTTTTTTTTCTTTTTTTTCAAGTCATTTGAAGACACTGCGTGCCATTGTAATAAGGAGAATCTGCACTTACGGATCGTTCGTAGGCATGAACATGACCAGCAAAGATAATGTCTACTTTGTACTTGACAAACCATTGCTCGTACATCACTCTCATGGATTCTCCTTCCATATAGTGATGTGCATAACTATTATACAGTGGAGAATGCATAAGAACAATAAGCCATGGTGTCTCTGTTCTGTTCACTTTTGGCAGCTCCTTTTCAAGCCACTTGTATTGAGGAGTATATTTCCCTGAAAATTGAAGTACAATTTATACTCACAAACAAAAACATGACATAGAAGTGAGAAGCAAGCATTCTTATACCATATGCTGAGTAAGAGGACAAGACTATGATGTATGCTGAAGCTCTCTTGATGGAGTACCAGAGAGGAGATGTACTATGTGAAGCTTCGTATGGAACAAAATACCGGTTTGTGTAGGGTTTGAAGGGTTTGCTTTCACCCTGCAATAACATTGCAATTACACATTTTCTTTCAAATTATAAGTTCAAGAACCAAATAAGAAAAAGAAACATACAAGTTCAGGAACAAAATCGATTTCGTGGTTTCCTGCAGTCCATATCCAGGGTTGATAAGCAGCATTTCTCTCTGTGAACCTCCCCCATGTATCCCACCTGTTATTGTCATGAAACGGATAATCATCTGCATAAGAGAGGTCCCCAACAAACAATACCGTCTGCCCTTTTGTTGGGTTCAATTCATAATGGGTAAGTGTTCGATTTGAATCGTGAGTTTGACCAAGATCCCCTGCTCAAAATGCACACCAGAGTGAGAACAAGATAGAAAACACAAGCATAACAGCTTTGTATAAAATTGTGTTTATCTGGTAGCAATACAATGGTGCATTATATATCAAAGCGTACAGCCTGCAGGGAGAGCAACCTTTCAACTAAAAATGGAAGTAATAAGAAAACTTGGATGAAATTTGAAATACCTATGAGGCCAAAAGTATAAGCAACATCAGGACCAACGCCAGGAGGGGTTGTGAACCAAAACTGCCGCGTGGTATTACCAATCCCGACTTCATAGTAGTATTTGGTGTCAAACTGCAGCGGTGATTCAATTTAAAACTCTCTACCTTCAGTCCAATTCAAAAACTAAAGAATGATATGGGGGACTAGTGCCTAGTGGCAGGTCCTTTACTTACCTCCAAATTGTGAATGGTGCAGTGATGAATGTAACCAGAAGTGTAATTGAAGTAGTGGTAAGTGAGAAGAGTGCCTTGAGCTTGGTTTTTGAGGTTGGTATTATTTTCTGCCCAGTAAAGCACTGTACTTGAACCAGGTTCCTCTGGAGTGACCCAAGAGACAATCACACCCCTCCCCTCATGATCTCCTTGTGTTATATGAACCTTGAACAAATCATAACACTTAGAAATCAGAAAAACCATAACCCAGAAATCAAATCATGCAATCTTGAACAATTCATAAGAGTTTTTGAATCAGTATTTAAAAGAATGGTTTACAGAAACACCTGCTGAGGGGCATTATATCCGGGAGGCACTTGGAACACATCACTGTCTAAAGGCATATCAAGGGACAAGTCATCATTTCTAACATAACTACTTGTTATCCCACCCTCACAGACCTCCAGGACAACCAGTAACATACGCACAAGCCCAGCACTGTTCAATCTCCCTGTTACCTTCCTCATTGTTCCAGCCCCAAAATTAAAAACTATATGCCCATATTTCGTTACAATCTGCTCTTTTTATTTTATACAAGTACCAGCAAATGCCATAGGGATATATGGCTGCTCTTCTCTAAGTTCTAACCTCAAGAATTCATAATATCACTCTCTCTCTCTCTCTCTCTCTCTCTCTCTCTCTGTGTCTCAGAAGTCCTGTCCTACTCAATTGCAAGTTGCAATCGACTGTAATCAGAAACACTGTAACTCAAGTCAGAAGGAGGAGGAGGAGTGAGTGTACGAATTGCAGATTGATTGACTGGTGTTGTGGACACGTAGGCCAGAGTGGCCAACCGTCAGTCAAAAGCACCACGTGCCTGCCATTTGTACTTCCAATCAGAAAATTCTTTGCCAACACAACATTACATAATGATTCATGGCATATTCACTTGTTGGAATCGAATATGCACCTCCTCTCTAGACTCTATGATTGCTGTTTGCGAGTTTAGTTGGTTTCCATCAAATGGGCCGTGGCTAACCATTTCACATAAGTTTTTAGGCATAGGCTAAGGCAACTCATGATTTTGGGCTGCCATTTGCATATCCAAATCACATGAAATTTCTATAACCAAAAATCTCAACTTTTGGGCATATGGTCTCAAACTTTATAATAAAATCTTGGGTTCTTAAGGGAAATGTCCATGTAATGCAACTATTATATTGTAGACAAAAAATTATTTAATTTTTATGTAAGCGATAATCTACTTTATACTAAACTAAAATACGGGGAGGGGGATTCGAACTCAAGGGCAGAGTGGAAAGCACATCTGCGCCAACTTGGCTAAGCCCATGTCTGCAATTGAACTATTTTTTTACTTCCAACAAAAATTCAAATTTAAAATATGTTACCATGTAAGATAATATTTATCCTAATAATATACACCTAAATTGCAAATCTATGCCATATACACTTCAAGATTTTTTGAACGAATGTTACGCTTGTTTCCTAATTTACAGTCCATAATTTATAGTCTATCAATAATTATGGTTCTTTTTAACATTGAATGGAATTTATTTTCTCAATTTTAGAGATTATGTTTCCTTCAAAATGAACAATGATTTACCTACCTTGATACTAAAGAAATAATAATAATAATAATATCTTGTATATATGCACGAAGGGATAGGTATCCTACAAAAAAAAGATAGATAAATTATAATATCCTATAAACTTGTATTAGGTATATTATCTATTATTCCATATATAGAATGCGCATGTTCTCTAATTATGGGTAAACAGGATTTTAAGCTTAATTAGGTAGATAAGATGATGGATTCGCTACTAAAAAAACTCACACTAGCTACAATATTGTAGGTAAGAACTAGTGTAAAGTGAAAAAAAAAAAACCAAATTTACTATAAAATCTTTATCTTCCATGAATATTGATGAAAATTGTGTTGAAAGAAATTTATTTGTGTTTTATAAATTTCCCCCAATATAATTTCTTCACACACTCGGACTCGGTGATTAGGGGAATTGGGTTGGTTCCTTCCTATGCACAGTGGCGGACCTATTAAGTCGCAAGAAGGTGCAGCTGCACCTCCCCTCGCCGGAAAAACCATTGTATGTGCTTGAATGTAAATAAGGAAGTACTCCCCATTTGGATTCAAATAAAAATACTAGAAAATCAAATTCCCACCAAATCAAAATATGAAAAATCAGTTTGAGTGCAAAATACGATTTAGGCTAAAAATGATGGCTCATTAAGTCAATATATACTTCATACTAAAATCCCATAAAATCAAGTTTTCTTATTTGATGTATAAGGATTAAAAGCCGCCAAAAATTATCTTGAGAAAATTATTATTCTGAAAAACCATTTTTCATACTTGGTCAATATTGCACCTCAGCTAAAAAAATTATGGGTCCGCCAGTGCCTACACTTTGGTTTTTCATCACTCTCTTCTTGGGATGAGCTCCAATCTCAAGTTTGGGGAATTGAGGAGAGTAGTGTGTTATTGTTATGTAATGTTCCATATGGACACAATCTAATATAGTCTTTGTCCATTTCGCTTGAACAAGTGCTTAGGCGGCAGTGAGACTAGTTCCTGCATCTCCCTCCCCTTTCGTCACCTTTCAGGTTGTGTACACAATAGCAACATTGTAACCTCCTCCAACAACTTGCCTTATTATGCAACACTTTGCTCAATCTCCCAACTCGGAGATATTTTAAATTTTAAATTTTTCAGTGCCGCTCCCGACAAACACTTAAAAACAGCACAAACTTACTGTAAGAAGGTCCAAATCATGAAGGTAGGTCAAACTCTTCTTTTGCAATGACAGCAGCGAGCTTATTTAAATCGGTTCCCGCACGTAGTTAGCTTGAATAAATCTCCTAGCTAGCTCCTTTCGCAAATAGCATAGTCTCAATGGAGCAACCTAAATCAGCTGCAGGCGATCCATATGACAAGTCCTTCATTCAGCCCTCCATGGAAAAATTTGAAGATTTTGACCAAGTCATCGAGAAGGTAATTCACAATTCTTGATCCAAAGCCAAATTAGCTAGCAAGAGAAACATATGAGTAGAGTTTTCTTTTCTCCAACTAACTGAGATATCAACATGTAGGAAGAGAGCCTTTCCACTAGTTTGGTAAGCAATGGATGTGTGGACTTCCATGGAAAAGTTGCAGACAAGAAAAAAACTGGAGGATGGAAGGCCTCTCCATTTATCATAGGTAATTACGTACTATGATAACATTGCAAATTTATGTTCATTAATTGTATGTATGTATCATATCTTTATGTCGCCTGATTAACGGAATGCATGCAGTGAATGAGGTAGCTGAGAGGCTGGCATTTTTTGCCGTTGCGGTGAACATGGTGGCTTACTTGGTGTTTGAGATGCGGCAATCGCTACCAAGTGCAGCCACCCATGTCACAGATTGGATTGGAGCTGCCTATGTTCTCACACTTGTTGGAGCTTTTTTAGCTGATGCTTACTTGGGCCGCTTCAAAACCATCATCATTTTCTCATGCGTCTATGCCCTCGTATGTATTGTCATTTGTAACACCACTTTGATTTTGGATCATTGGTCTCACAAGCCTTCTTGGATATCTGAAGTGGACTGCTTTTTGTCCAGACAAAGCCCATATGAATGATGTTGTTTGTTTTTTATGACTTTGCTTTGCATACGTATTACATGATATAGGGAATGGTCTTGTTGACACTATCCGCCTCCATAGAAAAGAAAAGGTGGTGGCTAAATTATTCATGAACTCAACTCATCGAGGTAATATCCTGCTTGCTTGCTAGCTAAATTACAAAAGGTGGTGGAATTTGTTGTCCCACTTGATTTTCAATCTACGTTAACATTTTTCCTACACTTCAAAACTTTTCAATCACATGTACATTGTTTGTTCTCTAGTGGGATTTTTTTTGTTTTAATTCTAATTAAGTCTGTTGTTGTTCAAGAGGGTTTTGCTTGGCTGAGTATGATGGAGGAGATAAAATAAGAGTTCTCCTATGTTGTGATGAATTTCATATGGAATGCATAGACAAATGGCTAAAAGAAAAGCAAGGGTACATTCATTACTTCTGTGATACTTCTCCCAGTTTACCAAGTGCTTGCTTTTGATGAATTATATTCCTATATATTGTTGTTCTCTCATTTTTATGGAGTTAACTTGATTGAGTTGTCATGCATTGCTTGAAATTTTGGATACCATGTGAGTTATAAGTTGCAAATGAAATTGAGACGAAAAACAATGAACTCCATTTTTATAAGAAAATTAGTCTATGCTTTGAGTTTAAGTTTGTTTTTTCTTGATACGTAAGTAGGAGATTTTAAATTGAGCTTGTTTGTGCTTTTGTGCATCTGCATATATAGCAATAAAAGAAAAGTGATGGTTCCAATAGAGCAGATCAAAGGTGTACCACATTAATACCAATTTGGAGTTTTTCTAAGATGAAGCCACGAATGGTATGAGAAGCATAAGCAGTGCAATATTTTTGAGTGAGATTGGGATCGGGAGTTGGTTAAGCACTGCGCTTGTTGAGATCATATACAGTGCGACTGGTGGAGAAGAACAAGGATGGTTGAGGAACGACTTGAACATGAGCAAGCTTGATTACTTTTATTGGATATTGACAGCCATCAATGGGGTTAATTTCTTGGTGTATTTGTGGGTGGCTCAGCGTTATAAAGGTAGGCATGGTTCAAGCACCAGTGTGAGAGATGGGGACGACAGTTGATGTGTCAATTAGTGAAATCTTTAATTAATTTCATGAATTAATATAATTTCAAAGTGTGCGCATTTGTTCATTAATTATTTTTGTCATGCCTTTTTCAATATAAAGATTCATTTGAGTTGAACTTTTACTTGTTTTTGTGGATGACGAAAATATCTCTTTGAAGACTAAATTAAAGTAGCACAGGATGGTCAAGGGGGAAAAATGGAAAGAATGGATGCCATTCACACATATCATTAAAAGGAAAAGCATCTTACAAATCATAAAAGAAATGCATGCTCTCCAGAGAAAAGGTAATTTTGTTACTGTTGTGGAGCCTTTTACTTAACACTTTAATGATGTAATATTGGGATATGATAATTATACATTTAAATCTTCGGGCAGTGTTAGGGACATCAAATTTGTGCACCAAATTTAAGTCTCAAATAATATAGCTCGTGCCATATAATAAATATTTAATTAATCAATTTCAACTTGGATTATAATTTAGTTATAATACACAAAGATTCTATATTGATGATGATGCACAACATATACACAAAGCTAATGGAGTCAAAACTGAAATATATAAATAGCTAATTTAGCCTTCTCTTTCATTCAATCGGTTTATGTGGTTGAATTCATCACACTTCTCTTCTCATCATTCATTTCCCCTATCTTCAGTCATCTTCATGGAGTCAAAATTGAGCCAGGTCTTCATTTCAAAAGTCTCGAAAATCAAATCCTTGTTTCCAAGAGGAGGATGATGATAAAAGTCTCAAATTCTGATGCTTGTTTCCAAGATGATGATGATCATAGCCAACAATGGTACAATTGTATGATAAGTTTAATTATTTAGGGATGAAATTAGTTAACTAAATATTTATGACGTGGCATGTAGGAGGATGATGATAAAAGTCTCAAATTCTGATGCTTGTTTCCAAGATGATGATGATCATAGCCAACAATGGTACAATTGTACGATAAGTTTAATTATTTAGGGATGAAATTAGTTAACTAAATATTTATGACGTGGCATGTGCGACATGATTTGGGACGTCAAATTTAGCATTATTCTTAAATCTTACCAGCAATTTTGTCACCACACTAGTAACATAATAGAATCATAAACAATAATTAGATCACCTACCTACCCTAACGAATGTCGGATTTTTCTTCTTGTGATTATATATAGACGTGAAACGTTGGGTCAATTAGTGCTATGTTTCCTTGCTGGGATTGTAATTAAGTGCATGAATTAGCGAGTCTTGACAATGTAAGAAAGACAATGTAGGCAATAATGTTTCGTAAATCAAACCATAAATTAACATATAAAGCATATGGGATTTGAGGCACTGAGGCCCACATAGTTGATAGCTGACAATGATCATCATGATATCCACCCCCCTGATGAGATCTCTCTCTCTCTCTTTGATTTTTCCTCCCTCCCCTACTAAGAAAGCGATTGAGTAAAAGTGAAAAAATTAAAGAAAAACGAAAAAAGGAACACCTTCATACACACACAAAGCTTTCTGATATATATTACTGAAAAAGCAGTACTTTTTTCTTCTTCTTCTTCTGATCTTGAAGGCCAAGGGGCCAAGGCTGTCGTCAAAAGTTAGGAAATAGGGATCTCAAACATTTTCGGTTGATGGAGGGATGAGTGGCTGAGTGAGGGACGTCTTGGCTTGGCTTTTCCTGTTGTTTGCGTGCTCCTGAGTGGACAGAATTCCAGCCCTGCTGTTTGCTTGAGCTATTTGACCAAACTTTCTTTCTTCGTTTTTACCCCACAGCACTAGGTACAGTCCCACTATGATCAGCACTGCCCCAATTATCCTGTCAAATATACATCACCCTTGTTATTATTAATTACTACATGTAAATATACATTTTAATTCCACAACAACAAAGATGAGGCCAAAATGTCTTCTTTATACTTATGACCAAGTATGTATGTATGTATGTATAAGTACCCGCCCAAGTAGAATTCTTCGCCTAAAGCGACGGAAGCCATTATAGCCACAACGAGGGTCTGAACAGGTTGATATACAGCAACAAAGACAGGGCCCCCTCTGTCTATGCACCATATCTGTACAGCGAATGCGATCCCTGAAGCAACCACTCCCTGCAATTTTCATCATATTTCATAATTAATTCATTTAACCACAAATATATTAATTAATCAAAACAAACAAAAAAAAAAAGAAGAAAGAAAGAAAGAATGAGTTTCATATTTCACTTTCAATACCCACCACCACCACCTTGCATTATTGCATTATTGCATTTGCAATGCATACTTGAGTATTAGCCAGCCAGCCTAGACACTTGTTGGCACATGAACAAGTATTGCCCCCTCCTTTTATTTCTGCTGACTTTGACACACTTTAACTTTGGCAAGCTTTTTGTTAACTAACCAGGAAACTATTGCCTAAATCTCGAGTCAAAGAATAACACCTGTTCCTAATTTGACCCACTCTCTCATTTTTTTTACTGGCTCCCACCTCAGCAGAACAGAGGCATGCTCGTCATTTTAAGAAATAATTAATGTGTCACACTTTTATTTTTAATCTAATAAGTTACTGACCGCGTATAAGATGCTGAAGACTTCTCCTCCGTTGTGAAAGATCCAAGCCTGAGCGTCTCTCTCAAAAATGGCAGCGATTACGATGAACTGTATGAGACCAAAGAAGCAGGTGTAGGAGGTCACAGAGAGACGAGCCGGGTACTTCTTCAGAACTGGGGCTTGGAAGACGAGCCAGCCGGACCACGACAGGCAATGCCCGATCAGGTACAGGCAACCCAGAGTCCAGCTCTTGCCATTTGCATCACCAAGCGTTGACATTATTGCTGATGAAGATGATGAGGATGATGATGATGATACTATGGAGGTAGCATTGCCCATCAATCTCATCATCTGCAGTGGGGGAGTTGGGCTGTATATGGTGGGACCCTTGTACAGAGTAATTACGGAGGCTCCGGCTACGCAGAAAATCGTTCCGATCACCTTTGCGATACCGTCTTTTCGGTTTAGCCTCACGTGCTCAATCCTGCAATGTTTAATTATATAGGGACATACTTACTAGTTAATCTTAAGAACATATTAAGAATTGAAACATTAATTAACTTGTATTGTTCATACACGCAAGAGGGAAATTGCGTTAAAGCTTACCTGAGTACGGCTGCCATGAGGAAGGTGATGGCTGGGACGGAGTTTTGGATGGCAGAAGCAAAGGTTGGAGATGTGTTGTCCAACCCCAGCAAGTAGAATCCTTGGTTTGCTGTTATTCTGTGGGGAAAAAGATACATAATTAGTTTGAAATAAAAAGTGATCAATTATCACAATATACAAGTCTTGAATTTTCATCAAATTAATGTGCAACTCTTTTTTTCAGTCATACCCAATAAGCGCCAGGAGGAAGAACTGAACGAGAAAGTTTAGTGTAATTGCAGGCCTGTCCTTCCTGATATTAATAATAAGAAGTACAACATGTTAATTCATAAGAACTATTGCTAGAGAAGAATTAATTAATGGTAGGTACGTAGGTTATGAGTAGTGAGGATATATATATACGTACTTCTCTAGAAAATAGGCAAAGGGAAGGAGCATAAGCAGAGCGATGATGTTCCTGTAAACAGGGAAGACAAGCTTGCTAATGCCCATGTTGAGGGCAGCTCTAGAGACCACATGGAAACCAGCATAGCCAAACTGCAAGGCCAGCATGGCCCCATGCAGTTGGAGTCTCTCAGGCACCGAACAACACATTCTCTTCGCAGAGGCTGAACCTACTGCATCAGCCATTGAAATACGATCTCACCTAAGCTAGCAAATTAGTGATAGCTGGTGTTGTTACAAAGTAAGAGAAGTAATTAAGAAGAAGAGAAGTGGTGGAGAGTTAGGGATGAAGTTAGAGATATAAATATAGAGAGGGAAGGGAGGTCAACAGAGTCAAGACTCAAGAGAGAGTGCTCGAGAGTGAGAGGAAAGGGGAGTGGGGGTCCCACGAGGGCCCTAAAAAGACGTTATGTCAACTGTTAAGCTTGAAATGTTTTTGGTTGTCTCCCACATCATATAACATAATATTCTGCTCTCTCTCCCTTGGGGCTTGGCTGACAAGACAACTCCCCAATCGATCGCACTACCACTAGTAAGCTACATGTATATGAAAAATGAAATGAAATTATTTATTTAACAGCTTCTTCTGTTTTGGCAGCACGCTATTGATGATGATAATTAAGAGGTAGCTAGCTATTAGGTATTAAGAGGTAGGGGAAAGAGCCGCCATGGATGAGGATCCATATATGATTCATGATAGATAGCGCGCACGAGGGGATGTGGGAGCCTCATATGCCCATATGCCATGCGTTCTCATCCCTCGTGAAAACCTGCAACCCCACCACCACCACCACATCCCCCCATTCCCCACCACCCTTTAACTAAATATTCCACTCTGCACACACACATGTATATAGTTTTATATCATCTGTGTAATTTATTTGTATGTATTTTATCTGTATTAGTTAATAGTTTTACTGTTCCCTAGAGCATGAAACTTGCCTACATGATTAATTTATATCCGCCGTACAAGTATCAAACCTATGTTGGCACTAAGGATATCCTTGATGTGAATGTGATGATGATCTCAAGTTGCATTACGTACCTAACGAGTGTAGTCTTCTCATTTCCAGAGAATGAGAGAGAACACCCTCAGTTGAAATGGTGGTTAAGATTTAAGATCATGGGATGGAATAAAAGCCTTATTTTGGACGAGGGTGGTCCACCCTCGGTTGAGAATTGAGATTTGATCAGAAAAAGGTAAGAAAAAAATATACGCCACTTTGATAGAGATGCAGGACCATATCCCATATATATGGCAGGCAGTGTATATTTTTCAAAAAGAGAAAAGTAGCAGCCAACAGGAAGAATCCATCTTTTCTAGCTCCTTGATCCTTCTTTTCGAATGTAAACTAAACCAAGAAAAACTAATGGCGCTCTTTCGTTAATTAATCATGAATTAGAGAATTAAAGCGTCTTTATTATGATATCTTTTGTTTTATGAAATAAAAAAAATATATGAAAGTGTTTCTTTTTCTCTCCACTGACACTGCGCGAGCGAGTAAATATTATTCCGACTGGTGACTGGCCACTCCGAAAGTTGGCTGGATCAATTGTGATATATCCTCATTGATATGAAGCCTCCTCGCTTTAAGAGACAGGCTGCCTCCCCTCAATTGAGACCACCATCATTCGCCTCTGTTTCAAAAGAAGAACTAGGCCTAGGCCTGCCCCAGTAAGTAACAATATATATATAATCTCTTGATCGTTAAAAGGTAATTCTTTCTATCTGACAGCAGGGTTTTGTAATCAGTATTATTCTATTATTGTAAAAAGCTACAGGTTCGGAAGAGAAGGACGGGGGTCTGACCCGGCCTGCATGAACCGGTCGGACACCACCCTGACCAAGCCAGTTGTGATGCTAATTGCATTTGCTCAATTCCATTCTCTTTGCAGTTGCATAATTACATGACTGACAGCTAAAATTAGATTTTGTTTGCACGAGAGAATCTTCCTACCCAGTGTTTGGTCGACTCCCTCTCTCCATCTTTGACTCATTAAAATATACTCTTTTTCTTTTCTTTTTCTCTTTATCTTTTTCCTTTATAAACTAAACTAAACATGAAGAAAGTTGAGATTACATCCCAAAATCAATTTGCAATGAAGAGAGTGGCCCAACTCCTTATAAACCCAAGTTAGGTCCCTTAACATTTCAATGTGAGATAAACACTCTCAACACGCCCCCGCACATGTGGCAAAATTTCAAGCCTAACACGTGAACAACACATATTGGATGACGTGGGAGCACGTGTGGCCGTTGGGCCCAACAAGTGAAGCATGGCTCTGATACCATGAAGAAAGTTGAGGTTCCACCCCTAAAACCAATTGGCAATGGGGGAGTTGCCCAACTCCTTATAAACCTAGGTTAGATCGTTAACATTTCAATGTGAGACAAATACGATCAACAAAACACGATCAACTTTTTCTTTTCTTTCAATTTATGGGATGCAAATTAAGCAAAGTTTGAGCCTTAAACGAGAGGATAGTGGATCAATTAGCCTACGCTACAAGCAGCATGTTGTTCCTACCCCTTAACCTACCTTATATCTTAAGGGAGGATATTTGTAGAAGAATGCTCTCCTCTCCTCCTCAATCAAGCAGAGTCAACAAGACATAGGAAGTCCAGACAGGACAAGTCCTTTCTTTCTAGGCCCTGTTTGGTTCATGGGAAAGGAAGCTTGGGGATGGAAAATCAATTGTTTTCTCATGTTTGGTAAGTCAGGCATGGGAAATCATTGCAAGGCACATGGGAAAGTAAGGAGAAAAGTGAAGCCATCCTCCCTCGGGTTTTACTTTCCCTTCTCATGGGAAAGTAAGGATAGCATTAAATGCACCTTTTTCTGACTAATTTGTCTTTACTAATAATTTATAATTACAGTTTTATCCAACAACTATTGGTATTCCTTTTTTAATTTTTAATTCATAATAGATTTTTCATATTTTTAATAGGGGTACAATTAGGAAACTAAGCAAAATTTGCTTTCCATTCCTACTCAAAACACACATGGGAAAGGAAATAAAGTGATATTTCTGGGTTACTTTCCCGGCATTACCAAACATGGGAAATGGGAAAGGAAATAAAGTGATATTTCCGGGTTACTTTCCCGACATTACCAAACATGGGAAAGGAATCATCATTTTCCATCTCTTGAGAAATGATATGGGAAATGATTTCCCATCAAATCCATTATGTGAACCAAACGGGGCCCTAGTGTGCTTACCTAAACGAATCTTGTGCACACCTGGCACATATTCGAAAATGTTGGGTAGGGCAAGTAGTACATAAGTATATAGTGGACTTTCGTTTTATACTATATGATTATGCCTTAGGGTTAATCGTTTTATTAGTCTCTAAACTTAGACCCGATTTGCATATGACTCCTTCAATTTCCAAAATCATTCCCGTGGTCCTTTAACTCCACTTTCATTAGGACAAATGGTCATGCCGTCAATTTTGTTAACTTTTTCAGTTAAATGCAAGGGCAAAATGGTATTTTTATATTTTTTTAAAAAAAACAATTATTTCTTTAAAATAACAATAAAAGAAAATCAAATAAAAAACCAACAACAAAATCAAGTTTGGAGGAAGTAGAAATCGAGAGAGAGAGAGAGAGAGTTTAATTTTAATTTTTTATTCATATTTTAATCAATTTAATACAAAAATACCATTTTGCCCTTGCATGTAACAGAAAAGTTAACAAAATTGACAGCAAGACCATTTGTCCTAATGAAACTAAAGTTGAAGAACGACGAGAACAGGAAATAAAGTGATATTTCCGGGTTACTTTCCCGGCATTACCAAACATGGGAAAGGAATCATCATTTTCCATCTCTTGAGAAATGACATGGGAAATGATTTCCCATCAAATCCATTATGTGAACCAAACGGGGCCCTAGTGTGCTTACCTAAACGAATCTTGTGCACACCTTGCACATATTCGAAAATGTTGGGTAGGGCAAGTAGTACATAAGTATATAGTGGACTTTCGTTTTATACTATATGATTATGCCTTAGGGTTAATCGTTTTATTAGTCTCTAAACTTAGACCCGATTTGCATATGACTCCTTCAATTTCCAAAATCATTCCCGTGGTCCTTTAACTCCACTTTCATTAGGACAAATGGTCATGCCGTCAATTTTGTTAACTTTTTCAGTTAAATGCAAGGGCAAAATGGTATTTTTATATTAAAACAAAAAAAAATGAATAAACAATTATTTCTTTAAAATAACAATAAAAGAAAATCAAATAAAAAACCAACAACAAAATCAAGTTTGGAGGAAGTAGAAATCGAGAGAGAGAGAGAGAGAGTTTAATTTTAATTTTTTATTCATATTTTAATCAATTTAATACAAAAATACCATTTTGCCCTTGCATGTAACAGAAAAGTTAACAAAATTGACAGCAAGACCATTTGTCCTAATGAAACTAAAGTTGAAGAACGACGAGAACGATTTTGAAATTGAGGGACTCAAATGCAAATTGGGTCTAAATTAAGGGACTAATAAAACGATTAACCCTTATACCTTAATATGGAAAAAGAATGTGAGAATCAAGGATATGCTGGATGCATACACCCTATGGCTAGATGAAGATTTCTATTAAACGAGGATAGCATTCGGTGAATAACACTTACACACATAATAATACTTTCCAAGTGATATAACATTTATTGGACGGTAATACCAAAAGAATGGTAATTTTTTTTCCTATGGCTATGAATCTTTTTGCTTTGGAGCTACTATTTCTGAAGGCAAAATAATATTAGATTTGTGTGAGTGGATCTAGTAATTATTGCTGCGGAAAATAGTGCTCTCCTTTTCATTTTATTTGTTTTCATTAGGACAAATGGTCATGCCGTCAATTTTGTTAACTTTTTCAGTTAAATGCAAGGGCAAAATGGTATTTTTATATTAAAACAAAAAAAAATGAATAAACAATTATTTCTTTAAAATAACAATAAAAGAAAATCAAATAAAAAACCAACAACAAAATCAAGTTTGGAGGAAGTAGAAATCGAGAGAGAGAGAGAGAGAGAGAGAGAGAGAGAGAGA